CTCAGGGCCCGGCTGCCATGGACCCTCGGGGGGGGGGGGGGCGGGGGGGGGGAGAGAAAAGTTCCCTGCGTCTCCCCCAGGAGAGATTCCACGGCCGGCCGCTGGGGACGGAGGGCAGCTGCCTTCCGTGGCCCTTCAGAAGGACAACAGCTTCCCTGGACTGGACGTTGCAGGGCGGAGGGGGGGGGCGAGAGCAAGGATGGCACCTCAGGGCAGGAAGAGGGGGGGATTTGGGCACTTGGGGATACTCAGTTCTGGCTACCCCATACAAGTACTCCTTGACCTACAACGGTTCGCTTAGCGACCATTCGAAGCCACTAGAGCACTGAAAAAGAGTGACTTATAAGCTACCAACGGCCATCTGGGGTCTCGCCAACCAGGGAGTGCAAAGGGGGATTCTCCCTCCATCTGGGCCCCAAGGCCCCTGCGAACTGGGGGTCCCAGGCTTCCTTTGGGGCCCCACTTGCCCAGGGAAGAGCCGGCCAGGTGCAGATGCCCAGGGACTCCACCGGCAGCCCAGCAAGGCCAACTCAAAGAGCCTATCCGGGGGAGCGGGATTGCCTCCTTCTGCCCAGGCGTCTCTCTCTTCCAAAGGGGGGGGGGAGAGCAGGTGGTGGCAGCAGCCTCAGTCTGCCCTTCCTGGCCTGGGGGGGATTCGGTCGGCCAGCCTAGTAGGAGCCGAGGGCTGCCCATCCACAGGGCCCTGGAGCGGCTCCGTCTTCTGGGCTTGGAGGGAGGGGGCCTGCGGGTGTGGGCGTGTGCAGGGAGGGGGGCCCTGCTTTTGCTCCTGTCCCTCTGCAGGAGGCTGAGTCAGAGGCCGCAGCCGGTGTTTGCAAGCAAAGGTGCAGGGGGGGGGGGGGGGGACGGGGGAGGACAGAAGGCAGCCCCTCCCCCCAGGCTCAGCCTCTGCCAGGCACCCAGATCAGCCGCTTCCATCTGCATTGGCAGCAGGGCCATTTCAAGAACTTTATTGCACAGAAAGATACAGAAAAGGCCCCCATTTGCCCCCCACCCAAACTGATGGGAGGGGTTCTTCCGCTGGTGGACAGGGGGGCCCACAGAACCCCCAGCCAGACTCCTCAGTGGGAGGGGGTGGAGGCAGGGGCATACAGCTATGCAAAGCAGGTGCACGGGGGTCTCCAGGAAGGAGGGCTGGGGGAGGGGAGACCCTCAAGGCCAAGACATTGCTGCTCCTTCTCCAGATGGGGAACAACAGCCCTGTGAGGGAGGCCAGTGGTCATGGGGCCCTTAAACCCCCGCGCAGCCCATGGAACTCATGGCTGATTCCGCTTCGCCTCTTGCCCCGGGCAGCACCCAGGCTTTGCTGCACTCCACAAGCAGGATCCCACCCCTCAGTTGGGCAATTGGGGGAGAAAGGCAGGATAGCGACTGAGGCCCTCGGGGCAAGGGGGTCCCAGGGAAGAGGAGGGGGCCAGGGGGGTGGGCAGGAGACAGCTCTGCCCAGCCATTCACCTCCCCCCCTTCAACAGAGCTGCTCCCTCCCAGGTTTTCGAGCCCCCCCCCGGAAACTCCTCCTCCGCAGCCTGGGCGAGGCAGGGGGTGAGGCAGGGGAGGAAGGAAGGGCCGTGGGGTTTGGGCCCCCTGGACGTGGGCCCGGGCAGGAGAGCCTCAGTGCTCGGGGAGGGCTATGCTGCTGACGGTGGTGTAGCTGATCTTGGAGAAGGAGGCGCCGGTGGCGGTGACCTCCTCCTCGGGGGCATGGGGTGGTCGGGACCAGCAGGGCGTGGCGCGGCAGGCGAAGGTGGTGGCGAAGGCCTGGCGGAAGCGCTTGTTGGCGAAGCAGTAGATGAAGGGGTTGACGCAGGTGGAGCAGTAGCAGAGCAGGTGGATGAAGGAGATGGGGGTGCCCGAGAGGGTGCGCTGGGCGGCATTGGGGTCGAAGGCCTTCCAGGTGTTGACCACGTAGATGGGCAGCCAGCACCCAAAGAAGACCGCCACAATCACCACCAGCATCCGGATGACCCGCTTCTTGGCCAGCAGCTTGGACTCTGAGCTGTTGACGCGTGCCCGCTTCCGCTTGGCGCCGTCCTCCGGGCTCAAGGCTGGCAGCTCCATTGGGCTCTCGGTGGGCCGGGGCACCTGGACGTAGCAGCCGTCGCCCTCGTCGCAAGAAGCCAGGAGCTCCGCGGTGGCCCCATTCTGCTGACCTGAGGGAGGCAGAGAGAGAGAGAGAGAGGCGCCTTGTGGGGGTTGCTGGGCCCCTCGGAGGCTCCGGGAGGTTCAGCCCAGGGTGCCCGTCAGAAGGGGGGGGAGAAGCAGAAGACCGGATCCTCCCGGCAGTTCAGTGCCCACAATCTTTCCCTGCTGGCAGTGCCCATGATTCTGTTTGGGGTTCTCTAGGAAAGGGGGCCAAATGGTGGTTGCTGGTGAGGGAGCGGACACCTGAACGGAGACCCCCCCTCTTCCGCAAGAGCAGGGAGGCGGAGCCAGATGTCCCAGGACGAGGGGGAGCCTGGGACGTTTCCAGGGTGGCACCCCAAACGTAGCAGCAGCGGCTTCACCACCCTGGTCTCTGCGCCATGGAGAGTGACGCCCCGTTGGTGTCCTTGGCAGAAACGGTGCCAGCCCCTCCGCTCTGCCTCTGTCCCTGGGGGGTCCCTGAGCCCTTCCCCACCCCAAAGACAGAGCAAGCGGCTTCTCCTCCCCTCCTCCCGGAGTCCTGGCCAGGCAGCTGGAGCCTCCAGGGGCTGCTTTGAATGCTGCCCTCCACAGGCCGTTTGTGACCCACGGAAGAGACCCACAAAAGAAGGCTGGAGGTTTGTGCCTTTTTTTAGCGGGGGGGGGGGAGCCCAAATGGAAGCCTTTGCTTTTCATGCCCTGAATTTCCTCTCCCTGGTTTTGGTCCAGCACTCAAACCTGCCAAGAATGGCTGAAATATGGATTCCTTCTTCTATAAGGATCTGCTCCCACTGCAGCCTCAGACTTCTTGGGCGTCACTTTATGGGGTTATATAAGCCGTTTATAAAAGGGCGCAGCCGGACGGGAGCATGAAAACAACGTTCGGCTGAGCCATGGGCCCATCGCACGGCCTTCCCTCGGACCCAACCTTGATGTTTGCTTGCCTACAAGACTGAGGAGCTGGGCTGAAAGCCGTGTTGGAATAAAGGTATATTACATCTACTACATCCCCACCATCTACTGAACTGGTATCTATCCGCAGCCCAGTTGCACAGTTCCTGCTCCTTTGCCCAATGAAACGCCTCAGCTTGCAAAACAGAACAGAAACAGAACAACAGAACCGGAAGAGGCCTCGGAGGCCTCCTGGCCCAACCCCCTGCTCAAGCAGGAGACCCTCGACCGTTTGAGGGAGGGGGCTGCTTTATTAAGCACCTCCGGGACGGAGCACTGCCAGCGTCTGGAGAGAAATTCCACTGGTTAATTGGGATGGCTAACCTACCGGTTTGCCTGATCCGGGCCGAACTGGGCTCAACCCACCCAAGGGTCCCTGTCCCCAGCCTCCTTGGCCCATTACCCACCTTTGGCCTCACGGGAGAGACCCATCTCAAACTGGATCCCCCTGTAGAGCTCAGAGGAGATCAATCCATAAGCCAGGATCATGACCAGCCCCGGGACAAGGAAGAGGGTGATGAGCAGCAGGAGGTACCTAGCAGAGGAAGGAAGGAAGATGTCTCACAACAGCCCCTTCTTCATCTGACCCACCACCCAGGAATGGCCCACGCAGCCCTAAACCCCGGGAAAAGGTGGATTTGCAGGAGGTGTTGGAGAAACAGGCAGCCACCCGCATTGAAACCCTTCAGGCTCGGCAAGTGGGGCCAAATGAACTGCTGGGCCTGGCCTAAGATTTGAGCAGGGTCTTCCCTGGGCTGCGACCCCCCCCCCAAAGGCCAGGTGGGTGGGGGATGAACCTGCGGCCAAGCCCCTCCCCTGCTTGCTCCACACACTGAACCCGTCTCCCACGCTGGGCAATCTCCCTCTCTTGCTGGCCCTCCCAGGCAAGCCCCAACGGTGCCCCCTGCCCATGGGGTCACCCTCACCAGACCAACCTGGCTAGCTGGCCGCCCCCTCCCCCCAGGGAGCCCTTCCTCAGGGGTGAAGGGTTCAAGGCAGGAAGAGGGGGAGATGGAGCCCAGCCCAGAGAGAGCCTCCCCCAGGACTTGTCGGATAGGAAGACGCGTCCCTGTGAACGTTTCCATCCTCCTGAGGAGGCCGTTGACATTTGCCCAATTTCCGCTCCTCTGCCTGTAATTCCTCCCCCCTCCGTCACCCAGGTGCCCCTCAAAGCCACAAGCTAAAGCCAGGAGACACAGAAGCCCCTCCAAGGGCCCCTCCCTCCCACCTGCCCCGTCTCTCTCCTCCTCGCGGAGTCCCCTGGTGCTGCCGGCCCTTCAGAGAGCCACACAGAGAGACGGACACGGCCCCAACTTGCCCGTGAAGTCCTCCTTGCCCATGACTGTTGCCTTATCCTTGCCCCCAGCCCCAGTTCCCAAGGAGGTCTGTACGAAGCCCTTGCCAGCCTCAGGATAAATGCCCAGGTGCTGCCCCCCTGCCCCCCTCTGGCTCTTGGGCTGGGCAGAGCTAAGGATGGTCCTGAGGCCAACACACAGACACACACACAGACACACAGCCACATTTCATACAAAGTCGCAGCCTTCAGTTCCACGGCAGAAGCTGCCCTGCCTCCTAACGGATGCCAGTCCCTGCAGGCCCAACGCAGGCCCATCGGCCACAGGGTGCCAGAGGAAAGGGTGGCAGAGGCTGCCCAGCCTAAGACACAGACTCGGTTCTTCAGTCTTACACCAGGAGGAAGACTGGCTGCTTATGGCACCTTCCACCCTAACCTTCGTCCCCCCTGCCCCCGATCTGCCCAGCCCAACCACTGGGGGCTGCTGCTGGGGGCTTCCGTGGTCCTCGCTGGCCCTGAGCGGGGCTTGGGCAGAGACCTGGCAACAGCTGGGCCTCCCCTGGCCCGTCTCCTCCGAGTCGGCCTGCTCAGCTGGTGGCTCCGATTGGGCCAAAGGGGCCCAATCCAACAAGGCTCCCAGCGGCTGCCTCCGAATGCCGCCTGGGGCTCCACGGGCAGCAGAGCCGCCCCCCTGGCCAGGCAGGTGGGCCCCCGGAGGAGCCCTGGGAGGCGGCCCCATCCCCGCAGGGTCCAGCCTGCCCCTCCCCACTTACCAGGCCTGTCTGATGTGTCCGGGCCAGTTGTGGATGCACTGGGTGCGGTGGGGGTGGATGGGCTCCGTCTGGGTGGTGCTGTAAACCGGGTAGGGCAGCATCAGCAGCGCCGAGAGCACCCAGGTGGCGGCGATGACCCGGTAGGCATGGGAGCGGGTCTGCCACACACGGGACTGCAAGGGCCTGCAGATGGCGCTGTAGCGCTCAATGGCGATGGCCACCAGGCTGAAGGTGGAGACGCTCACCGACACCCCTGGGAGAGGGAGGGAGGGAGGGAGGGGGGGAAGGTCAGGTGGCACCCGACGGGTCACCCGCTGCTCTTTCCCCCCAGGGGGAGGGGGGGCCCAGGCCCTGCAGCTGCCAGGCAAGGGGGCAAGGGGACCCCCACCCACCCAGGCTGAGCCCCTCACCCATCAGGTAGGCCACGGCCTTGCAGACGACCCTCCCGAAGACGAAGTCTTCCATCAGGTTGGGGATGAAGGTGAAGGGCAGGCAGAAGAGCGCCACCATCAGGTCACTCAGCGCCAGCGAGAGCAGGAAGGAGTTGGTGATGGTCCTCAGGCGCTTGTTCCCTGCCAGCACCGCGATGACCAGGGCGTTCCCACACAGGCTCAGCAGGAAGATGACCAAGTAGAGCAGCACCCGCACCGCCAGGGCCAGCTCTGGGGGGACAGAGCAGGGTCAGAGGGCCAGGCCGGTTGCCCCTCCGCCACTGGGGGCAGAGGCCGACCCAGCAGGAGCTTCCCTCCCTCCCTCCCTGGTAGAGCCTGGGCCACGACCACCCCCGGCCTGTGCTTCCCCCAGGCAGGACACTGGGTCTGGTGCCCGGCCTTGCCCGCCTGCCCCCTGTGGCCCCCAGGCCCTGCTCCGGGCATGCGGCTGGGACCCATGGAAAGCAGAAGGCAGGCACGGTCCAGGCTCAGGAGATTACACCAAGGCCTAATCTGGCTTCCCTGAAGGCCCCAGACTGGGGAGAGGCTGGGGGGGGGGGGGGGGCTAAGAGGGGGACCGGGGTGTGTCTCTGGCTGGCAGCAGCTGGGGTTCCTCTGGGGAGGGCATGTCGGTTCGGGTTCGGGACACCTCAGAACCCACCCAAGGACTCGGGTCAGCCGCAGCGCCAGGCAGGAGCTCAGCGTGTCCAGAGCTGCCCCTCCCGGCCGCCCTCAACCTTCCCCGGAGCCAGAAGGCCATCCGCAGCCCGGGTAAAGGAGGGGTGGGCGGGGGCGGCGCTCTTCATATGCGCAGAGGCCCTTCCAGGACCGGGAGAGCACAACGGGGCGGCCGGAGAGAAGTGGCTCCTGACCCACCGCGGAAGCCTTGCGGGAGTCCGGGCGCCTCTCCGGGTGACCCAGCCGCCAGAGGAGGGGGCGAGCGGCGGGGTTCCCAGCGCTGCCTCGAGGGCTGCCGGCAGGAGCCAGACGCGCCTGGGTCTGGTGGCGAGGCTAAGGGGAAGAGGAAGAGCAGGAGTAGGAGAAAGGTACAGGAA